ATATATTAGTATTTATAACACTGGTATTTCTTTATATAAAAACCACTTTCCTGGGAATGATGGATGAGTGAACTGCACTTCGATGTCTACATTGTTGATTCTTTGGAGTTGGGTTTGCTCAGGATGAACAGCGCCCTCTAACTCCTCTGTGCTGCAACTCCATCCTGTAAATGTCCCTCTCAAATCTGACCTGATGGCTAAAAATGTGAGGGTTAACAGTGTTTGACAGATTTTTGATCATATAAGTGTTGAGCACAACCATAACTCCACGTAGACAGAAGGAGATGCAGGGAGCTTCATCTCAACCACAAGTTGTTACTAAGAGGTTTTAGGCTTTACCAGTTGGCAGAATTAATCTTTGACCCATTATTGTTGCAAAAGTTGTGACCATTTATCATAAAATCTGGAGCTCTTGCAGTATTTTCTGTCCAAATTTGTATAAAAATAGAGCTCCAACAAACTGTATAATTTAGGACAGGGCTTAGACACATGAGCATAGGAGGCAGGAAGAACCGATCACAAAGTGCATCAACATTAAGTTATATTTTTGCAAGTTTAACTGTAGAGGAATGTCAGCGTTGTAGCGCCTTGAACTGCAGCGCACGACTGTGTGTTTAACTGTAACTACTAATATTAACACCGGTTTTGAGGCAAGGTCAACAGCATCTCTGTAGTAATAGAAGCATTTTCTCCACCATTATGACTGACTTTTTTCTCTGTTCTAATGTCTCTGTGCCTGCAGCAGTGGCCCATGTACATGGTGGACTACAGCGGAGTGAATGTGCAGGTTCCCGGGAAAGTCAATTACTGAAGGACAAACCAGGACTGCTGCAAAGGGATAAAAGGAGGAGTTTTGACAATATTCACGACTCCCCCCACATGCGACACTAACACTTTATCAGCGTGCTAAGACTAAACAATCTCTCCGGTCTGACTATAGAGAGCTGCAGGTTTGACTCTGTGAATGATGTCCTGAGCGTTGAGGAACAACAGAATGTATGTGGATCAAAACGTTGCAGGGCAAAAAGCTTGGCTTGTTTTCCACCTCCTGCCTCCACACAGTGCAGATGGGACAGCTTTCAGTTTTTGTTTTTCTTCTGAAGCTCATCATGGCAGTAATTTTTTTTTTTTTTTTACAAAGCTGAAAACACTACTAAGGTCATGTTTTTGCCCTTGCATTTACAAAGTGTCCATCCACTGAGTCATGTCTTGGATCCAGCATTTGGTTGCAATGTATTACTGACAAAAAATGTCTTTGATAACGATCTGGTTCCATATTATTCAGATATTTTTACTTTTTATTTATTATATTTATTGAAATATAACATTATGTGCAGGGATGTAAAATATATTATTCTGTTATACAGCTCTTTGAGGAACAACACTAACACAGATGCTACTAGTCACTCTGTAACTACAGGTAACCGCTGATATTAAATTTAACAGCAGCAATGAAGTGTCTTAATTGGGAGTTGGGGCGACAGCAAGACATCGGAAATTAAAGGAGGCAAAATGGACTTGAAGTTTGCCCAACAGGGAAAATCTCTGCTCACATAGCAGCAGTAACTACCTGCAGTAAAAGCAAGACCCTCAGTAAACAGCCTTTTTATGTTAGCACTACATTAACAATATGTAAAATACGTCATTTAAAAGTCAGCCTGAATGTATCATGTAAAGAAAAGAATGGTATGTTATTCTGCGATGACTGTCTCTGGACTAACGATATTTAATATGCTGTACCTTAACGCCAATTAGGCCTTTGAAATAAAATGTGTTGCCTTGCACTTTCATTTTGTTGGGAGTTTGTTTTTGATGAATTTCTCAATCAGCTTCAGTCTGAACGTCTGTTAACTTCTTATAGAGTAGATCAGGCAATAATTGGCTCTAATAATTTCTAATAATTTCTCTTGCTATTGGTTAGCCTCATTAGGTTTTTGAAAATTGAGTGGGGAGAGTTTGTATGCTGCATTTTAAACCATTATTTTTCAACAAATGTGTTTGAGGACAGACTATTTATGGCCCTTTTGCCATTGGATACTTCTGTAACTTCACCGGTGTCATCGCTTCATGGAAAGGTAAGCTACCGTCGACACATTAGCTGCTAGTTAGTTAGCAAAGGGTAGTCAGTTGTCACGCCTCATGAATAAACCCCAGATCTATTCATTATTCTTTTCATTTACTTTTATTTTTAAACAATGGTTTCCTCCTACAAGGCCTTCTGGTTGAGGACTGTGTCATACAACATGGTGTCTCTTGCCCACATCAAGTTTAAAATTCAACATCCACTAATGCCAACCAGACACTATACAGTCTATCGTCTTCATTGTGCATTTGTTCATATCATCATATCATATGGTCCTCAGTACAACTCAGTAATTTTATGAATATTATAAATTCATTGGCTTTGAAAGTTGTGTAAATGCCTGTCTAATACTCTTAGCAGATAATGCTAACAATGCTATTTTGGTGATAGCAGAAAATGTTCCTGCAGTACGGTACCTTTAATACTACATAAAAAGGAAATGCTTTGCTACAGCAATATCGTATTTTTCAGTCTTGCTTTTTTAGATATTTTATATTTATTTTATTTTGTATGGCAGATTGACTTTCTAAGTTTTTATCCTGTTTTCTGTGCGGTAAAGTGCACTTCCTTGAATGACCACTTGAGGCTACCTCCAAAAGTGAGTCAATCGCGATCGACCATCATGTTAAAATGCGTAACTTCATAGCAGAAATAAACATATTTACAGCCTGGTACAAAAAGCAGTTTTGGTCTGTATAGCTAATTTTCCCTTTCATGACAACTGTACAAGAGGTGAATTTAAATATAGTTCTCCCATTTCAATTGTATTAAGGCTGAAACTCATAGTTCAGGAAACTATGGGTCACATCACAGAGGATTCATCCATTTTTTTCTAAAGCCTACACTTACAACATGTAAAACAATACTTATATTGTGCTATACTAATCCACTTGTTTGATTTTATTAGATAGATGTAGCACAGACTGCATCTTCTTGAAGAGTAAATGATGAACTTACTGTGTGATTTTCCACATGCAGATGCCCAGTCTTTTTTATATTAGCGTGCAACAGAAATCATGTGGCGTTTTACTGCAGGACACTGTGCAGCCCGTGTTTTTCACCCTTGTTATCCATAACTCTTTACTTCCTGCTCAGGTAACTTGAACCCAAAGCGCTGCTGTGCACTTAAGAGTCCATTAAGACAGAGTCAAAGTGAAATTCCATGCCAAGCGGTCGTGTTCTCCTCTTAACATTTCCACTACAAATACATGTTTGAGTGCTTAAAGAGACATTTATTCAGCAGGAAGCGATGGGTTCAAGGCCCGCAGCTAGAAAACAGTGAAACTGCTAAGAAGTCACTGAGCCATTCACTGAACACACAGGACATACATAAATAGTGACCACTGTCTACACCTTAAAGGCCTTGAAAACACATTTTCTCTATCGGCTTCTTACTATAAGTGATGGGATCCTGCAGAAACACAGTTCTGGCCCAGAGGAGTTTCCTTTTTATACATAAGAGGTGTCCATACTTGTGTTTTTTAAAAGCTTCTCTCAATGGGATGTGCAGTAGTGGGATTAGCTGATGCACTGAGGGTAAATGATGATGCCACAGTCTTCCGTGCACCAATCAAGATTGAGAAGCACTTGAATTTAAGTGTCACGACAGCTGTTGCAATAGGAGGCGCCGGTTTGGTTTCCTATCACGGTGCCGACCCAGAACGACCCGCAGCGCCGCCTGCTCAGGGCCAATTTTAAGCTGTAAGGTTGGCTGGCATTTAAGCCTATTAGCAAAACCAAAGTCACTCCGCGGCAGGTGACTGATGCAGGCTGGAAACTCAGCTTGACTTGCACTTGACCCGGCCTTCATAATTTTTTGCTAATTTGGTGAGATGCTTACGTATGCTGCCAGTCCGCAGCCAATCAAATCTCATCAAACTGCACCCACGCAATCCTGATGAGTTTTTGTGTTACGCTCTTAATAAATACCAACTAAGACTGGCTTTTTCCAAACTTTATGAGGCTTAGGGGTCTTGATTGGGGGCGTTTTTTATTATAAACACTGGCGGGAGATTATAAGCAATGACGCAGACAGCTCCTGCTAAGGCTACTTACATCAGACATACGACTGATGCTGCTTCCCCAGGCTCATCATCCCGCCACAATTACCGCCTCAAACTACCAAAGAGGTGCTCCAGTCTACGTTCAAACCCTCGTCACTGATTTCCAAAGTGGTAACCAGGGACCAGTCGCTGCTTTGTCTCCCAGTTTAGGAAACATCTTCCTTTAAACGCATATTTGTGTGAGTTCTTGCTCTTCTGTTTGGATAATTGAAAGCTGTGTTTAAGGCTGATCATCTCCAGGTGTTGCTCATGTGTCTGGGGACAGGTTTTGGATTAGCTCGGGTGTTTTTGTCATTTTTTTGTTTCCTCTCCAGGATTCAGTGAATGGCGCTTGAAGGTCAGCAAAGCAGTGAGCTGACCTGATGTGCATAGTAATAAAATTCTCACAATAGCAGCACCTCAGTGGCTTTTTAAGTGTAGCAAACAGTCACTATAATCAGTCCAGTGGGGCTAGCGGTAAATGCTCAGCAATATCTGTTGAGACATTAAACTTTGGTGCGAAAACTTTGCCTTTTCTTGTTTTATCTACTGTGCTATTGCAGATTTTCTGTCTTAATTTTCTCGGTGCCTTCTCTGGACACGATTAGGTGCATGATGGTTAATCTATAATGCTACAGAAAACCATCTACAGAGGGCCATTAGCTCTGATGATCACTCTGAATGGTTGGCAATACGAAGCCATCTACGAGGACCCCGAAGTGTAAAACGCTACAATATTCACCTGCACATTAAAGGATCATAAGCCCACATCGCCGATTATTTCATATTCTTTTCACAACCCTGAACATCGGATCAAAAACATCACAAACGGATTCTCGGTAGCAGATGAGCATCTTCAACAAGTCAGACACAACTCATTTTGCATTATTTCTTTATTGCAGATTTCTTTATTTTTTTCTCAATTTTGTTTGTATACATGTCAAGACTCAGTTGAGCAACTTGTACTGCAGTACTGTGAGCAGAATAATGCATGTGAATACAGGAGGTTTGCGGCCCGCGGGAACATTAATACGCTCGCCACGGCTCCACATGTCTTGTTTAATCAAGACGACTTTGATGACCTTGATTGTCACACTGAAAATTTTTCTTAACCGGAGCTTCTTTTATTTATTTTTTTTTTCCCCTTCTTTTAGTCGGTCCTTCGCCATCTGTTCAGACAAAAGAACTGCGGCTATATACGATGTAACCTTGTCCCTTCTCACATACATGGCAACACTAACATATTAAGTGACAAAAACAATGGCTGCAGAACGCCCCTGGGCACAGATACTGCAAAACATGACAGATCACCATGTGAGTGCGTCAGACATCTGCCTATCAAATTGTGTTAGGGAATTAAATATACCATGGTCAAATCAGAAGTGGTGTTAAATGTTGTAAAAAACAAAAAAAAATCACAATTTTATTTATGGCATTTGTGGTCACAACTTGTTTTTTTCACATACTTTTGTTTCATTCATATTTTTTTTAAATTTATTTACAACAGTAAAGTATTGCCTCTTTTCATCAAATAGGCTAATATATACTGACTTTGCTACTTGAAGTTTCAGTGTGTCGTTGTGCTAAACACAACAGTTTTCAGCAGAAACACTTGGACTGCATGAGTTCCCAATTTGAAAACAAGTTAACTGCCCTTTTACCAGGAAATCACACATCTTCTCAGCTAAATGCACTGTCAGAACTAAAGTGCTTCATGAGATTTTTATCCCCAGCGTAAGCTCCCATTCTCTCGGAAACCGAACAAGGGGATACAGATGAGGCTCGTTGGGAAAAAAACACAAAAACAATCTCCAGTTTATGGAGGGCTGATGAGAGAAGCTCAGAGTAAGTGGAGCCCCATTTTTTTTTTTTTTCTGAGTTCAATCTCTCGGAATATGTGATGAGCAGAAATGTGGTGGAGCAAGAACCATTCTCAGCAGACAGGCTCCTTCCACAGAGGATTCAAGACCTTTATTTAGCTCACTTTTCCCCTTTCGCTCACTCGATGAGAGTTGGGTAGACGCTGACGTTATTAACAGACAGAGGTTGCAGGAGGTCCACCTGGTCACAGAGGAGGATTTGGAAGGGTTAACTCAGTGGTTAGCAGTGAGTGGAAGTGTGTGAAGCTCGGAGCTGTGACCTAGCTGCTGCCGCTGCTGCTTCCTGGAGGTTTGAGGCAGTCCTCTGTCACGCCCTGAGAGGCCAGCTCAGACAGAACATTGTCCAAATAGTTGGGGTCAGGGTAGCCGTGGCCCGACAGGTTGGACATCATCTCGGTTTTGTGGTGGATGCCGTTCCACACCACCGTGTCGGGTTCGCCAGTGGTGCTGGATGTTCCCACGGTGAAGATAAGACGACGCATCCACGCCACCTTCAGCAGCTCCAGGACCTTTTAACAGAGAGACAAATGTGAGGTGTGTTTATGTGTGTAGTTTAATATTGAAACAACCATCTGACCATCATTTTGGTTACGGATTTGTCATTTAAGGCCAGCTTCATACTCATCCACAAGGATGTAACTGTTTACACGATTTTTAGCCAAGTCTGCAAGAGTTCATCCAGATCTCTTCACAGTCATCCATGCGCTAAATTCTCTGCTTTCTCATTTTTCACCAAGGCTGGAGTCTCCAGGTCAATATGTTCTCATCTTATCAATTTGTAATGGGTTAGAAAACCACTTCTGTTGCTTTCAGAAGGAGAAAAGTGCTCCATCAACAGCTTTCTGGGATTAATACATTATTTTTGTCAGCAGGAAAAACAGACTACCTGCATTTTGTCAACTTTGAACTTAAACAACCTAAAGGACACTGCTGGGTGTAACTTCTTTAATGTTTACGTAGTCAGCTCTAAACTAATACACACCATGTTGAAGAAGCTGTCAGTGCTGCTGAACGTTGTTAAAAAAATGACTTATGAAGAAGATAACCAGATTAATCAGTCATGGCATAATGGTTTACTGCATTTCTGTCCTGGTATACCGTTACATTGGAATATTACTTTTTGACATGTAACAAACAATAAGGAAATAAAACAAGAAGAACCAGGTACAGCAGATCCTCACTAAGCTTAGTAAACAAAGATCCATACTATATGTCTGGAAAGGAGAAGAAAGAAGCATGCACTTAAATGGACCCGTCTCCACAGTCACATATAAATCAAATAATCACTTCAGTATTTATTCTGTACACAGACAGTGTCCCTGTTGCCGCTGCTAATCCACCAGCAAGTGTCACACTGAAGTGTAATCAAGCACCTTCTTCATCCCAGCGTCTCTCAAAGACCATCTTTTTGTACTTTCTGAGCAGATTTATATTTATACTTTGAGTTCAACATCTAAGTCACCCCACAAATTGAAACACACACACTCTTCAGAGCGATAAAACCAGTGTTTTTTTTTTTTTTTTTTTTTAAATAAATCAAATTTATCTCTTAAGTTATGACCCGACCTCTCTGTCTGAGCACATTGTTTGTTGCCAGTAAGTGAACTCTTTCTTGCTTTAGCCGTGAGGGCTTAAATTCCACCAGCTCCATAAATTTCAAATCTCGTAATTGCATTATCCTTTGGGTTTTTGCAGCTTTGGTTAGACAATTTGAAGGTACCACAATGGACTTGTGATGAACATTTTTGGACGATTTAACAATTGAACAACACAAGGAGAAAATAAGCGTCTGTAAACTGAAAATAATGGTTTGTCACTGCTGTGTGTTGGTTTATCCAGCCAGCCGGATGAATGAACGGCTCAACACATCCCATATAAGCTTTATATGTGCTGTCATCTGCCATTGGAAACAGGAAGCTAAAATGGGATTACGCAACTGCCTTTCATCACGACACACATGTTGTGTGGCTGATGGAAGTGAATAGCGTTCCCTAAACATTACTCTGACTTTAACTGGTGTGAAGCTCCTGCTGTTCACGGCACTGTAGGACAGGCTGTGTGTCCAATTTGGGGATATTTTCATTATCTCAAATCCGTGCAGTACAGGCTGCATCCCACCAGGGACTCTGATGATGGAAGTGAGTCTGAGGCACAGCGCAGATAAACTACAACAAATAATTCAATCCAATTTTCCATTAGCGAATTACATCAGAGATTATTTATAGAAGCTCAAGTGTTGAGCTGCAGTTGGAGATGAGCCACTGATTCACCATGGAAACAGCACAACTTTATAATGAACACAAAATATTCACAACTTAATTACAATCACACATTACAACCCCGGTGGAGCATTATGCAGCGTTTTGGATGAACAGTATTGTAGTTGCATGTACCTGATGTGACTACATTCATTGGTCGTACTGTGCCACATGATGATGAAATGCTGAGATTTATTCCTGGGTGGCCAGTGTGGGACGGTGCGAGTGGACACGGACAGTTAGAGCAGCGATAACTTTGGTACGAGGTGCAATCAAAAAGTTGGGAGTATGTGACTATAAAAAGAAAAGACGATCCCCTACAAAGTAATACTTTTGTGCAGAATACACCGCGCAGGCAAATTTAATTTTGGGCAAGAAAAAAAAAAAAAAGGGAGAATAATCTGCAAGTAAGAAAAGTGGGGAGCGACGGTTGTGTTGTGGCCAAAAACTTGTGCTGGCAAATGTTAGCAGCTGCCACAGCTGAGGCTGATTGCACCGAATGTTTTCCCTCAAACACCTCAGGATGTTACAGGAGAAGTCAGCACGGATGGTCAAATTCAATGTGCACAATCAACTGAATGATGTTTGAATCATGACACAGGAATTTGTACGCAGTAGTAACATAATCTGAACTTTATGAAGGTATTTCTATTTAACTGTAGTGCAGATGTAACGCCTGCACAGAGAGAGCGGACGTGTGTTCCTGTTCTTACCTTCCTCCCCTTGTCGTTGTCCGGTAGGAAACAGAAGCGAGGGAAGCCTCTGCAGGTGTACGGCTGGCCCGGGTTGGGATGCTCTGGGCCCTGGTGGAGCGGCACAGAAATTGACTGATTAATGGAAAGCGATAAAGTTTAATACTACACATCGGCTCGGACAATGAAATAATCTAATAGCTGCTTTTGTAGATGGTTAACAGTAAACCAACAGCTCAATACAAATCACATTTAAGTTCTGGTAACTTGAGATCGGTGGAGAACACACGGCTCTCTGCTGCAGTTCATCTTCGGTCAGGGTTGTAGCAGGACACGGGAAGAAATTAGGCTTTTCCCAGAAGAATGTAATAAAGGAGGTGACTGTGGCTCTATTAGGTGGTAATTTAATAATTAATACTGTTTTTTTTTTTCTCTCGAGATGATAACTACACCTCCTGTTTATCACATGTAATTTGTCCAGAGTGCAGACGTACCTGTATCCCAGGCGGGATGCTGTAGATGATCTGGATGGTGCCACAGTCTGGGTGTCCCGGCAGTGACTGGGCGATGCTGTAAATCTCCATCTTGCCTTTGGGCTGGGTCCCGGTCTTCTCCCCGTAGATTGTCTTACACGAGGGGCACTGCAAGCTGCCGTCCTGAGGAAAAGACACGAGCAGGGACCCTCGTAAACTGAACCGATCGAAACAAACCAGGTAAGTGCTGATCAAATATCCATTGATCGACTTTTGTTTGGCCATTCCTTCTGTCACCGAAACACTGATTTGTCTGAGCAGTTTTTAGGGATGCTTTTTTATGTACGGCATGATGTAGTTATTTGGCATTTGGCTTTAACTCTACAGCTTAAGATTGTCGTAATAATTAATTTTCAGTGGTATGAATATTTCATGAAGTCCCAAAAACCTTGGGACAACCAACATTCACTTTGCTGAGAGTTACATGAGAAGATCGGTTCAGTTTTCGTGTCAGTGTGAGGATAATGAAACTACATCCAGCAACGTGTTAGCTTAGCATAAATATTAGGAGCAAAGAGAAACGGCTAATGAGTTTAAACATGCCGACGCTTCAAGATGACTAATAAAATGAAATCATCCGTCAAATCAAGTCAGACAGGAAAGGAGGAGATGTTTGGAGGTGCAGCAGTTAGTCAGCTAAACAGGAAGAACATTAATCAGCAACTATTTTTACTGATATAATGGTTGAAGTCAGTTTTTTAAGCAAAAATGCTAAATATTTGATGAGTTTTAGGTTCAGAGAATTCATTCTGTCTTTAAGTAAAGTGAAGGGTTGGTCAGAAAAACATCTAATGGCGTAAACCTGAGCGCTAAGAAAGTGTAATTTTTCATTGTTTGTATTTTGATATTTTATAGACAGAACATTAGAACATTAGAACTGGAGATTCATCCATAATGAAAATAACTGTTAGCTGCAGCCCTGTTGTATTACCACAGAGGTCACACACTTTTTGTCTACCAGCTGTCTCGTGACAGAGTGGAAGTCTTGTCAAACCAGTGACTATTTAAGATAAAGAACAAGAATGTTTCCCTAAAATGTCAAGACTATTCCTTTAGGACAACCGCTCCATCACACTGAACATCATTTGCCTTCTGTCACACTAATTTACAGACAGTCTGTACACATGACGGCTTCACGCTACAATGTGACTTTGACAATAACAATTTGTCCGCAGCCCTGTACCTTAGTTCCGTTATTGTACATGGCCAGCATGCAGAGCATATGCAGGGTGTGTCCGCATTTGATGAATTTTCCCACAGTGTCTGGCAGGATGCTCTGGCCTCCCTCCTCCGTGGATGGTGTCTCGTAGCCGGATGGATTGGACAGTTGATCCATGCAGATAATACAGTCCTGAGGGGGACACAAGGAACTCTGTGTTTACTGCAAAACGACACAGTGCAAACTCATTTGTTTATCTATTGTAAAGTCAGCAATAGTGTGAACAATCTGTGGGAAACGTCTCTATTTATGTTGCTGTGAGGTCACACTTCAGCACTTGACGATACAAGAGAGTAGAAATTATTATTTTATGTCTTTCATATCTGGAAAGAGAAAAGTACTTACCTCATCTGGCACGCCGGCCACCACCTCCATGTAGCGCTGAATCACCTCCTCGGGTCTCTGAGACGAGGCTGAAAGAGGGACAGAAGGAGAAAATGCAAAGTAATGAACAAGCTCCAACAAAGCTGCCACACAAAAAGGAGATTCTGGTGACATGGGATAAAAATGATTTTCTTCAGAATGACCAGTACTTCACAATCTCAATTTAGAATTATAGTGAAACATTTGCCATGGAAGCTGGTCCTGTAACCTCTTCATATATTCAAAAAAGCGTGTTACAACTACTGTAAACCGTGCAAATACATACAGCACAAAGACGGAGTGAACGCATGAAGACAGAATGAAGCACACAGAGTTGATGGGCAGCATGAGGGATGGATACAGACACTGACTGCATCTCGCTATCGTTCCCTTTCGCACACATGTTGAGTGTCAAGTCTGTTTAGGAAGCAAAAATTCTGCGAGCTGACTGCACGGCTCACCTTCAATCGTCATTCTGAGGATATCGCACAAGACAGCTCAATTTCATTCCAGATTCTAAGAAATTACAAGGTTGGCTAAATCTTCCCAGCTGAGAAATGAGACCAAAAATAAAAAAAAAAAGTCTTCATTGATCTGTTTCCAGACGTAAACACTTGCTACGCTCCCTACGTCTGATATGATGCTTTCTCCTGTTGATTTCAAGTGAGTTGGGAAAGTGGCAAACAATGAGAGTGGAAGAAACATAATCTGTGGTCATGACAACGCAGAGATGAGGGGGGGAAAAAAAATAATTTAAAAAATCAGGCAGAAACAAAAAGGCAGCAATGAAATGAAGTTCATTACACGGATGAGCGACAAAGCACGGAAGACAATTCAAATTAGCCGAGCCGTGCCAAAACACACAGCTTTTTTGTTTTGTTTTGTTTATTTGAGTGTATTAACGAAAGTCCGTTTAATACACACCAAACCTGACTGATATTATACAACAGCTGATGATTGTTTTCATTACTAGTTAACCTTCTTACTCTCCTGGTTAATTATTTGGTCTATATAACATCAGAAAACTGTGCAATGCTTTCGAGAGCCCCGAATGTCTCGTTTCGAAGCTGAAACCGTTGACTTTTAGCCATTTTTGAGCGCAATTGTTGCAGCTGTGTACTGCAGCATCAGCTTCTGCACCAAAAATTCAAACGTGAGTGAACACACGGACGGTGATTTGGTGATGGATACACGAGTGACAAATGGAATTAAAACTTTAGATTAAAAACTTAGAAGAAGTGCTGCTACACCCTGAGTTCCCAGAGCAGCTTCAGTGCTTCTTGGCAGGATATTCCCTCATTCCTTTCTTTCTCTTTTTGGAGGAATCTAGTGACTGTGAAGGCCATTCCTATCATCACCCTGCGTCTGCATTTCTTGCTTCTCCACTCATTTATTCAGGTTTTTCCTTTACTTTGCCCCCCCCCCCTCTGTACAGAAATGTGGTTAGACTTGAAATAACTCTGTCAAAGATGGAAGTTTTGCTACGTATTCTAATGCTGCATTTACACAAATGAAAGCAGTGCTTGCACCAGTCCACTTTTTTCACCTTCTTCTGTGAAGATGGTGCTGCTTCTTGCATCTCTGAGAGCTGAAAAAAAAAGACTAAAGAGATGAACTACTTCAGCAGAAAAGCCACTTAACAGCTGTCTGAGTCTTACAAAAAAAAAAATCAGGTAAAAGTACATTTACTGGCTGCACCAAATGCAAAAGTGGATTAGTGTAGGCACGCCTGATCGACACGTGAAAACAAATGAAAGTGAGTTGATGCAGGATGAAATGATCCTCAAGCCTGTGGAGATGAAAAGTGGACCAAAAGGACAATGGCGGAGGAGAAAGAGGTGGATTCAGGGCTGGTGGCGTGGTGGTAGCTACCTCTCCTGTGCTGCCTCTTTGCTCTCCTAACTGAACTGCTGCTGCTGCTGCTGCTGCTGCTGCTGTGGGGCTTGCTGGGCCTGCTGGCTGGGGGGAGGAGAGGAGGAGGAAGAGAGAAAGGAGGAGCAGGTTGCTGCTGCTGCTGCTGCTGAAGCTGCTGTTGTTGTTGTTGTTGTTGTTGTTGTTGTTGTTGTTGTTGCTGCTGCTGCTGCTGAGGGAGGGGGGCAGAGGTGAAGTGCACGCCGAGTCCCACTGCTGACATCAAAATGGAGGCCATGCCTGGAGCGGGGTGGGGTTAGGGTAGGTAGGGTGGGGTTGGTTGGAGGCGGGATGGGGGCAGAGTGGGGCAGGTGAGAGCAAGTGGAGATATGCAGGAGTAGAAAGGAACAAATCAAAGGTATGAGAAATGTAGCAGCAGCTGAAGCTTCCACTGCGACCCTCAGACACAAAACACTGGAGTCAGACACGGCAGAGAACTTTCAAATCACAACCAAACCGCTTGTGTTTGACTCTGAACCTCGAAACCTTCCCATAAGTTTGAAAGACAAGCTATATTCTTTAAAAAGTTGGCCAAAATGACACCATTTATCAGAGCTGGAAAGTGTAAGAACAGAAAGCTTTCCGATCACCTTATTTCAAAAAAGTTGCCAAAAATAAACAATTTTCTCCAAAGAGATTCAGTAAAAACAAAAAAAATAATCTAACTCCTCAGCACAAGCATGAAACCATAAATGACTGAGCAGCGACCGGCAGTCACGTGACAAAAAAATCTGGGTTTTTTTTGTTGTTGTTTTTTCAAATGTGAATTGGGGTGAACTGCAGGCTGTGTTTACACAGAGCAGAAAGGAGACACGTTTGGAAACAAATTAAATACATAAGTAGTCAAATCCAAATCCAATCCAAATCATGTAAAGTCATTTTTTTCAGCATTAATAACACCTAACACCAATTTTTTTGTTAAACGAATAAACAAAGACAGTTTTTTCTTTTTTTACGGCATTATAACTGCACAGAAAGCATTTTGAGTTCTCTCTACTTCTAGTCATGGTTGTGCTGTTTGCATAACTTTATATTGCAGTAAAAAAAATAGCCTACAGTGAATTAAAACATCCATCCATCATCTATACACTGCTTCATCCTCACTGGGGTTGCAGGGAGCTGGAGCCTATCCCAGCTGACTCAGGGTGAAGGCAGGGGACACCCTGGACAGGTCACCAGTCTATCACAGGGCTACACTTAGAGACAGACAACCAAGCACACTCACATTCACACCTACGGACAATTTAGAATCACCACTTAACCTCAACATGTTTTTGGACCTTGTGGGAGGAACCCGGAGAACCCACGCTGCACGGGGAGAACATGCAAATTAAAACATGACTGGATCAAAAATAAATAAAAAATGCCCAGAAACTGCTCGGGGTTAACAAAGCAACCTGGTTTATTTGTGTCTATGAATCAGAGTCCTTCTGTCTCTTATTTTTGATCCCTGCTTTAAGCTCATTTTCAAAGTGGGACTATTCTTGTAGAGTTAGCCTAAATCTCCTGAGCTAAGTGCAAACTACATGTTGTCCTGGAGTCTGGAAAAGATTCACTGAGAACCAACGGTTGCCCAGAAGCTTAAAGTCTCACCAGTCAGGCAGCGAACTGTGGGGAATGATTTACACGGCAGACAGCAACAATCCCTGTGAACAGCTTGGCAATGTAAACTAAAAGTTGCAGTTAAGTGTTATTACTTCAAGGAAGTGAAAATTAGTATTTTTGGAACCAACAAGAAACAAGAGACGTTCTTCTTTTCAATTTAGTGCAATCAGGAGTTTTTGCAGCTGCAGTCTTGCTTCGCCTGCTACAGTGGTTAAAGTTAGCTCATAGCAGAAGCAACATCATGTTTTCATTCAATGATTCAATAACTGCTGCTGCTGTGCACTTAAACTGATTATATTTTAGTGAAGAGTTTAGCTGAAACCTGACAATGTTCTCAGTATAGCTGCCTTGGCATCCAGCTGAAATCAAGGGGAATCCAGGGACACCCTCAGCAGTGCAACTTGAATGTAAAAAGCTACAGCTGTCTGCCACTTGGTGATGGATTCACCTAAAACGTCGTTCTGCACCTGCTTCCTGCAAAGCTAACCCAAGCCGCCTTAGACCAGCACAGATTAGCAGCATTTGTGGTTTGAAACACGTAAATTCAACCTCCAGCAGCAGGAAAGGCGGCAGTATTTATTCTACGTGCCTGACAAAACAATCAAGTGTATAAAGCATTGCGCTGATTACCATTAATGTTCATTACTGACTAATGAGCATTAAAACTGTACATTCGGAGAAGACACCGCACGAGTGACCTTCCATTTTAAATGATTCACTCAGGTCTCGGTTCGGCGCTTTTCTCTAATGAGGTTCTGGTCCACTGGCTTCCTCCAAGTTGATTGTATTGATTCAGTCAGCTTATCACAGCCCAGAACCTGCCTTAGAATTTAGAGGTGTGCAGCAGAGAGAGAGAATAAAAAGCAGTGGCTTTCAGTTTTGCCGCTGTATGACGACTATAACCTGCTGGCGTGCGGCACCACGCTGCACTCAGACTTCACTAGTGCAGGAAAAGTCATTAAATATGCGACTCATTCAAAGGTTGAAATTAATGTACGGAATTTTCAAAGACAAACACAATGGCTCCGTATGCAAGAATATCAAAAACAGGATGCTTTGTAATTATGAATCTGAGATCCATGTACTTAAGAAGCCTTTGACTGTAACGAGGATCTCATTGTTCCGACATTAAATCATGGTGTTATCTTGATTTGGCAGCACAGATCTTTTCTCTGAGGAAGTTTCCCATCATCTTGAGTTAATATCACACTGTTAGACAATTAAAATCCTTTGACATCCAATTACACTTTTACTAATGTCGATGTATTTAGATAAACAGGCAAACTGTGATTAAGGTGCGGTAGCTCAAATGCATCCTTTGTCTTCCTCTTATCCATTGTTGGGTCATGGTGGCAGCAGTCTAAGCAGGGACTTCTAGACGTCCCTCTCACTGGCAGCGTTTTCCAGCTCCTCCTGTGGGATCCCAAGGCGTTCCCAGGCAAGATGAGATATCTAATCCCTCCAGCGAGCTCTGGGTCTACCTCTGGGTTTCCTCCCAGTAGCCTGGAAAAACCTCCAAAGGAAGCTGCCCAGGAGGAATCAGATGACCCAGTGTTGTCAGCTGACCTCCTTTTGATGCAAAGGAGCACTCCGAGCTCCCTCAGGACATCTGAGCTCCTCATCCTGTCTCTACGGCCGAGCCCAGCCACCCCACGGAAGAAACTCATTTGGGCTGCTTGCATCTCACTCCGCTGGTCACTACCCAGAGCTCATGACCAGGTGAAAGTTGGAACGCAGATGGACTGGTTAATCGAGAGCTTTGCCTTCCGGCTGTGCTCCCTCGTCACCACGACGGTCCAGTGCAACGCCCCGAATTACTGCCGACGCTGCACTAACCTCCTGTTCGTTTCACGCTCCATTTTACCGTCACTTGCGAACAAGATCCCAAGACACTTAAAGTCCATTGCTGGGGGGAGAAACTGTTAGCTCATGGCTGTATCTTATTATCACACATAGAGGCTGTGAAGCATCCCGAATAAAGATTTTGTCAGATCTGATTCACATTTAAACATGATGAAATGACAAAAATGATCTTGCATTATGTTGACGCCAGTGAGCTGAGCAGAATGAGTATGCAGTATGCAATGCATTGTGAATACTTGCTGTCCAAGCTGAGGCACATTTTAACTCAACTTTGACGTTCTGTGTGTGTGTTTTTTTTGACAAATTTAGAATTCTTTGAGGAAGAACTACGGAGCAGGAACCTCGGAGATGCTTCCAAGAAGCATATAAACAAAGCTACAAAAGGAAACTATTCTATAAGACATGAAGCAGGCCACTGTGCTGACAGGAAAATGAAATATACATTTGTTTTGGTATCTTAGGATTCTGAATGTTAAGTTTAAGGAAATTAAAACAGCAATTCTGAAAAAGAAATCTGAGAGCCTTATAGAATGCGATCCTTAGATGTTTGTAAATGTCACTCAGACATTTAGCACATAATTAACTCACATGCAACACATTCAGCTATCTCAAAGTCATGATCACAAGAGCTGAAAAGAACCCGCTGGCTTGGTTTTGCTATGAATTTTGGTTTTTTGTTTTTGTCTACATCAGCATTCAAATTATCTATCAGAAACGCTGCTTGAATGAGGGCATTCCACTTCCAGAGACGTACTGTTCTGTAACAGCACTCCCACCTCTTATGTTGTTCAGCTCTGACACATCAATCAGAAATCAGTGCTGGGTGGAGCTGTGGGACAACCGCTGTCTTACAGGATCAAGACTGAAAGCTGAAGTTAATCAATGCCTTTTGCATCCACAGAGACGAATGCTTTGTACTGAACGGTGAATCTAGTGTAGGCTCACAGTAAAAACAAGCCTGTGTGGAGGTTGTTTTGTTGTATACTGCTGTGACAAACGGGATGATATCAGGTTTTTTGTTTTTTTTCTTCGTCTCCCACCATGTGGTGAATGGAAGCCTCTCTCCGATGTTTGCATCTGAGGTGCGTTCGGCTGCCTCCCTCCTGCTTTTTCTGACATGTTATTCCTAAACAGACTGACACTCACTAGACAAATGTGCAGAAGTGGCATCTGAAACGCTACCCGCCGAACAAAACCTGCTACCAAAAATCGAAAGCGTGGGGCAGAGCAGGCCAGAGAGCGGAGGCTGCGCTGAGGATGGATGGTTAGTGACCCGTTTACCTGCCAGGGCAGAGCTCACGCTGGTGGATCCGTTCAGCTGCACAGAGATGGAAGGAACACTGGAGGGCAGAAAACACAGACGGAGGCGTCCGGTCAGTTAAGAAAACAACAACAATGAACCACACAGCAAAAACAAAACAAAGAGCTGGAGACATTAGATTTGACACCAGATCAAGACAAATAAAATAAAATAAAACCTGCCTTCGAGGTTTTAAACTGACCATCTTCAGACAGTGAGTGACAATAACTCAGTATTGACTGCATGTGCATGGTGCAACGAGGGAGTCGATATATTGATGGGTATGTCCCCAACCAATCTGTTTACTGTGCAAAACAGCCTTCGAGGAAAACAAATGAGTCGCTGTCATCCCTGAAGTATGAACCGAAACCAGGCTGCAACTTTAAAGCTGGGGTAGGCAGTGATTTATGTTTTTTTTTTTTTTTTTAAAGCATTATTGAGCAAAAATCCCATAATAACTTTTCAGCATATTGTGACTCAGGAGAGTAAACTAGACTCCTGCATCTCTTCTTGGCTCTGTTTGTGGTTAAAACTGTAGCCAGCGATGGGACACTTTAACCAATCACAGAGCTTGTCATATAGAGCACATGGTTCCTATTGGCTGTTCTACAAATACAGATACATCAAGAAACGTTGCTGTCCCAGCTTGTCTAACAACTGCATACACTGCATAGTAACCCCTCCCCCAAAAAGAAAGAATGTTTAAAAAGAGAATCTGACAATAATGATATTAAAAAGCTATGCCATTATCAGCAAAGTGTACTCATAGGATTTGGATTTCTATATTCTGAGCTTCTTCTTCTTCTTCTTCTTCTTCTTCTTCTTCTTCTTCTTCTTCTTCCTGGAAAACTAAGCTGCTATTTACCTGTAATATCTAAATGTGTTGTAGTGGTTGGTTAGATTGTAGAGGTAGATTTAGCATGCAAGCTAAAAGTGTCAATGCTAATGGTTGCTAAATGCTTCTGCTAAACATAACCAAAGGCTCATGGTTGCACTTGTGGTTAAATCATGTTGAGGAAGGTTGTATTTTCAATTGTGTTTTCTGCCTCTTCCAGATTTCTGCCTCCCGCAGCTTTAACTGTGCAGATCAGTTACTTTCTCTGGTAATACTTAAGTCTATAAAAAGGCAGAAATGGTGAAAAAGACCTTTGGAAGATCCCCAAAGCTCAAAGCACTTGTTTCGCCCAAGTCCAAAAAGCCATGTAAATTTAATTTAAAATAATATACAACTGAGTAGCAGCAAATCCTCACAGTTTAGAGGCTGGAGCCAGCAAGTAAACAGCAAGCAGGGATTTCTGTAACTCAACTAATCGTCTCGGTGTGTTTACTTTTGCAGGCGCTGACTTCTAACACAAACAAGACCCGGCGTGATAGTTGCAAGAAACATGCCAACACATGAACCAACCTGTGAAAAACACAAAAATCACTGAGTGGATGTTCTTAACCTCATAGATGACAAGGTAGCACAACAGAAGGAAATGTGTTGCAGATAATGTGAGGCCCCTATAACATCAGCGAAAAGGAGGCAGTGGGTCACACACCTTGAATCTGGACTAGAATGGCTGCAATAGCTGCATTAATGCCATGAAATGTACTTACAAAGACATGAATGGTGCAAGAAAAGACTGTCAAACACGAGAGCGAGCTTCTATTTGCACTCTACCAACAGGCCACTTGGTCCAAGTCAATAAAGATGCAGATTCTAAATAGCCAGAGGTCTATTAGGCTGTAAGACAACATTATACATGCGCTTACCTCGTTATTATAGTAACACCTCAAAGAGCAATTATTAAGTGCAAGTTCATAACACAGACCAATAGGCAGAGAACATCCAGGATTTTACTATACTAATATTAATTTCCTGTGGCTGAGAACAGACTGCATAAAACTCAGTGTGGAAGAAAATTAGAGCCCAGAGAAAGTGAAAGTGAACTGCTCATTCATTATACCACTTAAGTAAGTCATTTGTCTTTGAAAGCAGTTTTCTGTGCCATTAGGAACAAAAAAGAAGGGAGGAAAGAGATGACAAAGACAAGAGTCACGGGAACCGAGCCAAAGCAAACATGCCACCGAACTGCTGGAGCTACAGATCAGCTTTTGCTATTCCTGTTTTACAGGACAGGTCAACGTGGAGACAGACAGGAAAGACAAAGAGGAAGGGGATAGAGGACATGTGCATTCTCGGGCAGCTGAGTCAGGAAAACACCTCACTGCTCCCGTTTTCTTCATCTGTCTGTATTAAACACAAGGCAAAACAACGACAGAGATGTCAGGTACCAACCTTAACCCGTTGGCACTGGTCGAGCTGGTCAGGAGCGGTGCGGGAAGTTGACTACCAGAGGCAGGTGGAGGCCAGGGGCTGCCCCAGGACATTCCACCGACGGAGAGGGGTCTCCTTGGGTACGGCGAGTACACTGAAGTAGGGTGAGCCGCTGCAGCCCTCCCCGTCCCCTGGAGACTCGGCCGGTTCAGACTCCCCGACGAAAAGGAATGTCGTGAACGGCTGGGCATGGGTCCTGTGCTGCTGTGGCTCAAACACTGCTGGCAGGAGCAGGCAGGGCCTGAGGGGATGGCCGGGGGACCAGAGGAGGCCAGCGGGTAGGGGAGGTTGCACTGCCGTCGCACCTGCCGCCTGAAGCCCGTCGATTTGTTCACTTGGGCCAGAGATGTCAGATCCACGATGTAATTGTATCCATGTGGGCCCAAGTCTGCCGTGCCTTGGCGGGCCTGATAGCTGTGCTCCAAAAGGATAGAGGTTCGAGTCTCGTATGGAGTCCATCCTCCTTCGTCATTGGCCCATTCCCAGTAAACACCACTGCCCAGGCCTGAGGACTGGGCGAACAGAGATCGACGTACTGATCGTGTCTTTCCTGAAAACACAAGAAGGATTCTTGAAGTATAAACCAAATCAAAGCTACAGTAGGCAAATCTTTGACATGAAAAATACCTATTTCCTGCAGCCAAACCCCCAAAGTAGCATATGCAAAGTACCCATTCTCACAGCTAAGACTATGTAGCTGTCAGAATCAGAATGGTTTTGAATGCCAAGCAGGATTTCACATATCAGGAACTGGACATGGTGTTTTAGTGCATGACCAGAAATGCTTAAAGTAGAAGCTCAAGTGGAAACATGTAAAGATGGTTAAATGATTTAAAAAGTGCTGCAAGACAATTAAGATGCAATGTAAACACCATAACTCTTGTCATGGTGTGAACTGATCCTTCAGCTCAGTTATTTATCTAAGCTCATCGCTTTATGCTTCAGAGCATCTTTACCATGACTTGGAGGAGCTGCTGCCCTTCAATCAAACTACTCAGCAACAATCAGCTGAGCTAAAAGCACAATAACGTGCTAATTTCAAACAATGTGAGGAGTTACAGCAACGTTATGTGACTAAGTGAACCAAGATGACACATTTAGCTCTGATGCCAAAGTCCAGTAACATTGTGAAGCTAATCTTAGCCTGCATCTCTGTAAACACTCATCAAAACAACAGCGCCCCTGCATGCTAACGCTAAGAAGCTAACGTTACAGGGCCTGAGACATTCACAGGGTTTGACGCTCAGCGGGACAAACGATCACGAATTAAGGTGGAAGCTGGGTTCTAAACGCCACGACGAGCTCAATATGTTCACCTGTGTCCTGTCGAAACTGCTTCAAGCTCGGTATGTCAATGAGGTAAGGCGACAGGCTGGGGTCTGATTGTCCGAGGCAGATGCTCGTTGAGCCGGGTGCCCCTCCTCTCTGGCCCCGCGGTGACAGACACCGCTCGATGTAGGCGCTCACTTGGCCGCTGTAAGGCCGCCAGTAGCCCAGGTCGTCCTGCCATTCCCACACCGCTATCATGGGCTGAGATGGTCCGACTGATCCCGACGGCGTGGCTGACACGGAGGGCCCGTTCCTGGAGCCGTTCACCCTGGCACAGGAGCCAGACACAATCGCCATGTTCGCCGTGAGCTAGCTTGGAGCTAACAACAACTCGTTCTGGTTAGCTGGATTGTGGCTACGACGGAGACAAAGTCTGCTAGCTAGGCTAGCTGGGCTCGCTAAAAAATGCCATTACACATCTGTTAACACGCCTTTGAGGAAGCTGCGAGGTGAGGATCAAATGTTAGACAGCCTAGGTGAACATTTAGGTGCATGTTGACAAAGCTGATGCATTCAGAGGCTGAGCAGGACCAGGACAAGGCTAGCTTTGTGACAGCGTTGCCAGGGATCCTTCCTCCGCTGCTGCTGCCTTCATGGACCATCGGAAATACCGCAACTCAGCGCTCGATTGCAGGAACCAACCATCAAAGCTTTTCGACATTCATCTTCTTCTGGTGAGCTGTGCGGCAGACTACACTCAGCATAGAAAGGTCGCTGCCATCCACAGGCCATCTGTAGAACTACACCTACACAGTTAAGGCCATTTGTAGAGTCCAGCACGGTGGAGAAGCACAATTACAGATTTCGTTGCTTCAGGGTTGAGCACTGATTTCAATGAATGATTTATGACTCCAGTTTTCTGACAGCTCTGCTTGCGCGAGGCTTCTCTCTGTGTGATAGTTTCAGTCAGGGCATGGTTCACAGTTTCTGCCTCTCAACAGATGCATTTTCCATCAGGGTTCTTACCCACATCCACATTGTTCCTCCTGCTGTTCTGTTATTTGACACGTGTTTCAGTGCAGTGAAGGTTGCACTGAAAAACAAACTACTCTTTTTTAATTTTTTTTTTAACCAGCAAAACTTTGCTATTCCTTGCTGTGTTAATCTCTTACATTGGGCCCTTCTACAGTTGTGCTTCCAGATCTATAACTTGTAAAACATTCATTGTATAAAGGTAAAGTTTTTCATGGCTTCACTAAATATAATAAAGTTATAGTAAATAAACAAATCAGCTGTCTCTGAGAAGGTTTAGGGGGAAACCTTGTTTCTGATTTGGTTAATTTGATATAAACTTATTCACTTTCTACATGTGCTGGGACCCATAAAAACCCCACAATGTTCACTTTAACAAGTAATTCAAGGGGCCTATTTATTATTAAATGCATGGTTGGAGGATAAACAAATAAATTTACTGATTTAATAAAAACGTTTAAATTGAAAACATTATTTTGATGGGTTGGCTTGTACATTATAATGTTGTTTATTGCACCAACTCAATATTTGGTGCAATTTAAGCTCAAATTTCTGCATAAACTGTTTAAAATCTGCACTCAAGATGAGGCAACTTAATAGAATTGGTTTAAAAACTTGTTTTTTTCTTCTTCTAGTTTGTTGTTTGAACATCATTTCATTAGAAGAAGAAACTATTGCACGATTTATTTTTGTGTATTGCAGCTTCTCCGTTATTTAGATTCTTGACACCATCAGGTCGATTCTGCACATAATTTGCATTTTTCGTCAAATGATTACGAACGAACATCACAGGATCATCTGTATGCTTCTTCTTGATTTGCTCTGATGTGGCTGTCCAACCTGATGCCACGAAACTGCAGATAAGTGTACTTTGGAGCCACTGCCTCCAATTTCTTTAACCAAAAGAGCCTCACATGTTTCATGAGTCAATAGTCAGCAAGAACAATCAATAACTCAGGGTTAAAATCAACTAACCTTCTTTATAAGTCCATCCAGCCTCTCTCATGTGTTCCATGTGTTAAACTAAAGACTCCTCTTATACAATCTGGTGTCATTTTTATAGAAATCAACAAGAATTAAATCAAATTCAGGGTAGTTTCTTGGTGAACTCTGGACCCTTAAATCAATTTTGGATTATTCTTTCTGTCAATAACACATAGACAGCCTTCATCCCTTGGTGATGGTAAAAGGTGATGACTTATTTAATATCCTGTGTCACAACTGACAAAAAATACACCTTCGAAGCTTAATCCACAAATATTTAAAATAAAAACATCCTGTTTTACTGTATTTTGCAAAAGCTTTGAGTGCATAAACCTCCTCATATCCAAAACCATGGCTTACAATGAAGGTTGCCTTCTTCTTTTCTACCATCCCCCTGCATCTTTATTTAAATGAAATTAGCTTCCCTCAGCAGCATCTCTGCCCTCAACTGGAGATGAACAAGTATGACATGAATGACAGTCCAGCTAAAAGTAAACAACAGCCTTCTGATGGATGCTTCAGTAATTAAATTCAAACATTAAAACATATTCATTAAAACAAAAATCAGCCTAAAAAGATGGAAACAGTTCAGTCTTTGTAGGTTTCCTGGTTTGATGACTCAAACCGTTTTTTATAGTCATCAGCTACAACTCATCAAAACCAAAGTCTGTGGACTAAATCTATAAATCAGGCTCAACTAAACTGCATGCTGGCCAGCACAAGTGAAGCCAAATCGATATATCGAGCACTAAAGATGACAATAAACTGCTTTCTGAGCCGCGATCCTGGACCTAGTTTGTCAGAAGTGTCTTCATTAAATGCACATATATGATTATAGGAGTGGACAGCGCTGGCACCGGCATGAACATTGTTTAAATTGGTGGCCAAGTGGGAATTGAGCATTCCATTTAACCCGTGAAGTGACACATAATCGATAGCTAAATCCATGGTAAGCACTCTCCAAATGGCAAATATAATAACGCAAGGTAAGAAAAAGAGCATCTGATGTTGCAGTGTGAAACTAATATCATTCGCTTGTGGAATATATCTGTGATCCAAAGTTTTTGCCAGATTTCTGCCTTCACCCAAACGAAACGGAGAAAATTGGAACCTGAATGTCATTTAAAAATATGACAGAAACAGCATCCCTTTAATTACCCGCAGACCTCACAGCAATCAGGTTTCTCTGATGCTGAGTTAAACGAGCAGGACTGTAGCTGCAGATCACACACTTCTTAAAACACAGGAAATATAATATCAGCTGAATCAGAAAGCAAAGGTTAGAGCAGGAAATGGTGGTAATGGTAATGTGTAAAATAAAACGTACCAGTTTTTCATATGACAGTTTATTTAATTCATTGTATACAGCTACCCTAAATTAACAGCATTAGTAATTACCAAAACCATTTCTTATGATACTTTAATGGTTAATACACCAGTATGTAGAAGCTCTGTAACTGAAATGATATGCTTTATTGCTAAAATATAATTATTATTATTGTCATTCATGAATTTTTAGATTTACTGTTTTACAAAAACAACCACAGAAAAAACAGTAATGCACATTATTATTTCTTGACAAAGATGTAAATTATAGTTGTTGACTTGCATTCCTGAAAAGAAAAAGTAGTTTCAGTTTTTCAATTTTATGCTTGATTTGTGTAACTAAAAAAAAAAGAAAGAAAAAAAAGGTGAATTCAGTTTGAAATTCCTCCTTCATGTTCAAAATGGTAAAACGTTGAGAGCTGAGAGTGAATTAAAGCACTTCATGATGCTGGATGGTCTATATACAGTTGAAAGCAGAAGTTTACATACACTGTATAAAAAGAAATCAACTATTTTTTTTCTCACTGTCTGACGTTAAATCAGAGTAAACTTTTCCTGTTTTCGGTCAGTTAGGATTATCAAAATTATTTCTTTTTGTTAAATGCTAGAATAATGGGAGAGAGAATGTTTTTTCTTTTTTTTAAGTACTCCTGCATCCTGGGGGAGGTTGGAGACATGGAGTCAGAGTGGTCCATGTTCAAAGCCTCCATCGCAGAAGTGGCTGTTAGGAGCTGTGGCCAGAAGGTCACTGGTGCCTGTCGTGGCAGCAACCCCAAAATCCGCTGGTTGACACCGGCGGTGAGGGAAGCCGTCAGGCTGAAGAAGGGGACCTTTCGGGCCTGGCTGGCTTGGGGATCTCCTGAAACAGCAGGCAGGTACCGGCTGGCCAACAGGGCTGCAGCTCTGGCGGTCGTGGAAGCTAAAACTCGGGTGTGGAAGGAGTTCAGGGAGGCTATGGAGAAGGACTTTCGGTCAGTCTTGAAGAAGTTCTGGCAAACCGTCCGATGCCTCAGAAAGGGGAGGCAGGTATTTGCCCAGGCTGTGTACAGCCGGGGAGGAGAACTGCTGACCAAGCTGTGTCCGCATTCTCGGCAATAAGTTGGACACGTTCCCAGTGGGTGTTGGACTCCGTTAGGGCTGCCCCTTGTCTCTGATCCTGTTTGTGGTTTTCATGGACAGGATCTTAAGGCGCACTCAGGGTGAGGAGGGTATCTGGTTTGGGGACCTCAGGATCACGTGACCTTCAGCACACACTGGAGCAGTTTGCAGCTGAGTGTGAAGCGGCGGGGATACAGATCAGGACCTCCAAGTCTGAGGCCATGGTCCTCCGGTGGATTGCCACCTCCGGGTGGAGGGGGGTGCGGGGTGGGGTTGCTGCCTCAAGCGAGGGAGTTTAAGTTTCTCGGGATCTTGTTTACGAGTGATGGGAAAATGGAGCGTGAGGTGGACAGGCGGCTTAGTGTCAGCAGCAATGCGGGCGCTGTACCGGACTGTCGTGGTGAAGAGAGGGCTGAGGAGCTCAGACATCTGGAGGGAGCTCGGAGTAGAGCCGCTGCTCCTGCACGTCGAAAGGAGCCAGTTGAGGTGGTATGGACATCTGATTTGGATGCCTCCGGAGAGGCTTTCTCTGGAGGTCTTCTGAACACGTCTACCTTGGAGGAGACCCCGGGGCAAACCCAGAACCCACTGGAGAGATTATGTCTCTCGGCTGGCCTGGCAACACCTCGGGATCCCCTAGGAAGAGCTGGAAAACGTCACTGGGGGGAGGGAAGTCTGGAATGACCTGCTCTGCCTACTTGTCAATTTCAACTTATTTCAGTTACAGCTGTTTTTTTCCTTCTTTGAATGGAGGGTATAAATACATTTGAGGATGACTGTATGTAGAATAGTCTTTTAATTCATGCTGTTGACACTGATAGAGTTAACAATACAGATCTGTAATTCACTTCACTGTCCTCAGCAGAACATTTGAATCACACTGGGGGAACAACCTGAGCATGTGATTTAGGAAGGTCAGATGATGCAGGTGTCTGCCACAACGGAAAAGTCAAATCGTGTGCACTTGGGCAGCCACCTTGAACGATAACACTGCTGTTAGTCCTTGGCACAAATGATCAATAAGCGGGCTGCAGAGAATGAAACACTACATTGACAGTGTACAAATCGGTCCCGGCTATTGTTCAGAAGTTGATAATAGCTCCAGCCACACTCCTGTCGTCTCTTTGCTGAAAGCTTGCCACCTCCATCACACAGATGTGGTTTGATGCAGCTCAGCGGTGAAGCTTGGCGATGGCAGCCAGAATGTGAGGAATGTTGTGCACTTGGAGCTCTGCCCATTTTAATAATCGTGCACACCTGGCAGCTGCTGCATTGTCAAGTTTGGAAATCATAAAAAAAAAAAAAAAAATCTGGCAG